TCAATTAAGAGAATTTATAGAGGTGGCAAGAGTTGAGAAACTGAGTACTGCTAAATGTGAACCATAGAAACTTGTAAAAGGTAAAGTTAACTACCTTTATGACGTCATAAAGAAAATTCTTACATATCGCTCATATTAATCGAATTTAGTATTGTTTTTGTTAAGAGTAATTTGACAAGAAGATGCTCTTTATTTATGCCGTGTTAGATAGATTATTTCATGGCCCTACTAAATTATTTGTTGTTGTGGTGTGTGTGTGTGAATGATTGCTCAAAAAAGCAATATATCATGTGATCAAGCAAAAAAGGTGACTGTTGGATGAGATAAAAGACAATATACACTTCATTAATTCGGAAAATGCTTCAATTTAAACAATGAGTGTGTGTGTTAACAACAACGTAATAATATTATATGCTTATTAGTGTGTTTTAATGCGAACAAAATTTTATTGGGTTTCTGTGCGCCATGTTTTGCATGCAATATGAGTGTAGATTTATAGTCGACATAAGATGCATAATATACTGTTAATTGATCATCGAGTCAAAGCATATATATAAATAATATAACTATGCGTATTATAAAAGAAATAATTCTTCGAAGGTTGAAGAAAGTTGGTGGTGTGGGATAATATATGAATGGAAAAGATTCACCTAAGGGTTCTTATCTCACGTGCAGTTGGATGGAAAGAAGACTTGTTAAAAATAAACGGATGTAAATAATAATATTTGACCAATTAATATAATACTTTTTTACTAATTAACCAAACATTTTATCAAAAACAGTTAGATTATCTATAGAAGTGTTTTAGGTATTCTAGAATGCCGTAGAAGCTAGTACCTCATCTCACGTCATTGTTGAATTGCTGTTTTCGTTTGTTTCGATAACCTAAAGTACATGGAACTGAATAAATGACTATATCAACATATGTTTGTAATTTACTGGATATTGCATGATAATATTATAAATAAGTAAAATTAGTTATTTTGCAAATTTAAGGAAAAAAAAGAATGAAATTTATGAATCTATATATAGTTTAAATAATGTTTTCAGCTATGCGTATAATTTTATCAAATTCTATATCTAAAAAAAATACGCAAAAAACTCCATTTAAATCTATTTTACCGTTAAAGTATTTTTATTGCAAATAAAAAAGGGTAATTGGCATGAATAACCAAAACAAAAGTTATATCTAAAAACATAACTAAATAACCTAAATTTAATGGCTATTATTCGGCCATATAGATTAATTTTGGTTACTTGATTTTTTTTTTGGGTTATTGAGTAAAATAATCCAATAATAATCTATCGAAGTAATACTGGATCCAACAAAAAAAAAAACGCGCATGGGATAATAAGGCATGGTATGCAAAAAATCTGGTCAAAAGAATAGGGAAAGAGCTTTAGCAAAGTCTTATTACTCTTTTCAAACATATATTGAATATTTAATACCATTCACATTTGTATATTACATCACACGTATCGTAAGCATCCTAGTTGACGATTTCGATTTGATTCTTGTGAATTTGTGATCACATCTCATATGTATACAAGACAACTAACTTAGTCGGTAAAGATGAAATGTTTTTGTATTGAATCTCCTGATGATACACTGCTTCGAACAGAAACTGTAGTTTTCAAATACTGAAACTGAAGCAACTTTTTCTTCTAACCATATTTAGCTCAATCATGTTTGAGTCGTGTAGTTAAGTATATGTATATACTAGGGATTGTTTACGCGTAGAGTTTAAAAATTAACATGATAAAAATTAATATTAATAATT